ATTACTGTGCTAGCTATTATTTGGGAGGGAATTCAAACAAATTGTACTTTTACAATTTTTATTTTCATCTCATATTTTTTTATTTTTCTTTTTTGGATGTGATTTTGATTTTGAAGCTTCCTCCACTTTTGACGTTTCCTACTACTAATGTGGCATTTGGAGGTATGGTCTTAACTAAGTCTTTATGATGAATGCACAACTGACCAAGTTTTTACTTTATATTTTTGTATTGGTGTGAATGCTCTTGTATAAAATACTTATATTCCATCTTCCCTCTTTTTTCATTCCACAACTCTTGATATCTAAAGTTTCTATTATAATTCAATTTTAATTATACTATAAAATCACATTCTAACTCCATGAGGTAGGTGTAATATCTACGTACATTCTACCCTCCCTAGACCTCAACTGTCATTCCATTACTCTTGTTGTTTTTGTATAAAATCACATTCTAAGAAATTCATTCATCAGTTGAATATATAAAACATATCCCTCTATTCTCATTAGCTGAATATCTAAAACTTATCCTTGTATAATGTGTTAAATTTTTCCTAATTCAAGGTTCTTGTCCAACTCTTAATTCTCATATGTCTTTCTATGCAGGACTGCTTTGAACCTCATGTTGCCAAATCAGGACAAGATCTTAAACCTGTTATGGTTTATGGGTGAGTATTCCCTTGCTTAAGTCATTGTGTATTTGCTTTAAGTATTCTCAATTGTATACCAATCTCGAACTTATTAGTTCTGTTTAATCACCTTATTTTTAGGTATTTACCATTAAAGTTTATGCTTAGCATAAAAAAATCTTATTGCATGATTGCATAATGATCCAAAAGTTGGCAACCATGAATGCATAATGATCCAAAAGTTGGCAATATTGGTTTGTAATTACTTAACTATATTCTCCACTTAGCAAAATTACTCTTTTTATTGTCTATAAGCTTTTTCTCTCCCGTCCCCCTATTTCTTTTTTCGTAACTTGATCTATTTTGGTCTAGTTAACATATATTTGTACCTGAAGTACATCAGCAAAAGTTCCTATAACAAATTACATCATTTTAAAGTAATGAAAATATGAGATGAAGAAAAATACCTAATTTATATAATTTGTAGGGTCGGATTGTTATGTTGTCGGGTTGTGCTACTCCAATCTTTCAAGATTTTGATTTTTTAGTGTAGGGCCGCTTCAGTTGTCGGATTGGGACCATCAACTGTTCATCTTCAAAGTGAAAAAAGTTTGGAAGCCATGAAAGTGAAAGGGGAGAAGAAGAAAGTGAAAAGGTAAAGTAACTTTTTATAAAATGTCAGATTTTCTTCCACTTTATAAAGTGTAAGAAAAAATTCCACTTTACAAAGTGTAAGAAATAATTCCATTTTATAAAATGTAGGAAATATTTCTGTTATATATTAAAATATACACGTTATGAGACTAACGGAAAACGTTTAGAATATTAGATAAAGTGGAATTTTTTCTTCCACTAAGCCTATTTTAGTTACTTACTAAAGTAGTGGCTTATTTTGATCACTTTTATATTTTTGTGGCTTATTTAGGTTCCCAAGTCATAATTATACCATTAATAATGTTAATAAGAATGTAAGTATTTAAAGGAAAAAACCAATCTATTTTTACTAAATAGAGATAATTTAATAAAGTATACTTTATAATTATTATTTTTTAATAGGAGTGAAAAGAGCCAAAAATCGGCAAATAAAATAAGAAGGAAATAGTGAGGTTAAAGAGGAAAAGAAATACTAATTTTCATAATGAACGTGAAAAGAGCTAGAGCGACACGTAAAATTATAATCACACGTATATGGCCTTATTCCTTTAAGGCCTTCCAACATAGGAACATCGATCCTAGTGGCTTGATTGCAATGTATAAAAAAGGGGAAAATTTGATTATGTTAGAGTTATGATCCGTTATTTAACCCAACGGGACTCAATCCATGTTTGAAGATTGTAAAGAGGGAGAAGTGCCTCTCTAATATTTCTCTCTTCTTTCTTTTATGTTCTCCTTGATACACAATAGTTCTGATAGTTCTTTTATCGCGCTGATCATGATACTTTAACTAATCAATTCTTTTTTATCGCGCTGATCATGATACTTTAACTAATCAATTCTTTTTTATCGCGCTGATCATGATACTTTAACTAATCAATTCTTTTTTATCGCGCTGATCATGATACTTTAACTAATCAATTCTTTTTTATCGCGCTGATCATGATACTTTAACTAATCAAAATCCTCTTTAATCGATCGAACATATAAACCGTATGTCTAAAGTGGATATACGCACAATTTTTTTTAAAATATGAGTACAGGTTAAATAACAGTGTCAAAAGAGACTATCCAGCGATAACCACAAATTTCTTATCTTAGAAGGGGACATAAAACACAATCCACAACAGAGTTTTGGCTTTGATCTCTCAGAAATCAGATTTCCCATTCATTTCCTATCAGTTAATCATGTGGAACTTTCATGACCATCAGTTGGATTTTGTCACCATCCTCCAATAGTGAAGGACGAATCTATCATTGAAGTTATGAGTTCGACAGAATTCAATAGTTTTGTCTCACTCCGTGTATTTGTAACGAAAAATATAGAGAAATCAAGAAATACTTCCTTCTAGTCTCATAGTAATGTGACAATTTGTATTCTTCTGAACTATGTCTTGTGACTGACAAGTATATATAATCCTCACAAATCCAAATTCACAATGCTAACCAGACAGTAGATAAATCTAAAATTTGCTTATGTTTGCTCTTACATCATCACTTTACAATGTATAAATTAAGAAATGTAGAAACCATAGTGTAATAACTTGAAATATAACAAAAATGGCTGTTCCCACAGTGCAGCCACATTTTGTGTTGTTTCCTTTCATGGCACAAGGACATATGATACCTATGATGGACATTGCGCGTCTATTGGCACAGCGCGGAGTTATAATCACAATCCTTACTACACACTTGAATGCCAACAGATTCAAGAAAGTCCTTGATCGCGCGATAGAAACAGGACTAAAGATTCAGGTGGTTCATCTATTCTTTCCATGCTTAGAGGCTGGACTACCTGAAGGGTGTGAAAATTTCGACATGCTTCCATCGATGGAATTTGGGGTGAAATTCTTCGATGCTACGAGAAGACTTCAACCCCAAGTGGAAGAAATGTTGCAAGAACTGAAGCCTTCGCCGAGTTGTGTAATATCTGACATGTGTTTCCCATGGACAACTAATGTTGCACACAAATTTAACATGCCTAGGATTGTTTTCCATGGGATGTGTTGCTTCTCTTTGTTGTGCTTACACAATTTGAGAAATTGGGAGGAGTTAGAAAAGATTGAGTCTGATACAGACTACTTTCAAGTGCCTGGATTATTCGACAAGATTGAACTAAACAAAGCTCAGCTTGTGAATATTCTCAGGGCAACAGATGAAAATATGAAGGAGCTTATGGACCAAATGAAGAAAGCAGAGGATGAAGCTTATGGGATAGTGGTGAATAGCTTTGAGGATTTGGAAAAAGAATACGTCGAGGGTTTAATGAATGCGAAAAACAAGAAAATTTGGACCATTGGCCCTGTTTCACTCTGTAACAAAGAGAAACAGGACAAAGTTGAAAGAGGTAACAAGGCTGCAATTGATGAACACAAGTGCCTAAAATGGCTTGATTCTTGGGAACAAGACTCTGTACTCTTTGTATGTCTCGGGAGCCTATCGCGTCTTTCCACGTCTCAGATGGTAGAGCTAGGGCTGGGGTTAGAATCATCTAAACGACCCTTCATTTGGGTCGTTCGACACATGTCAGATGAGTTCAAGAAATGGCTAGTGGAAGAAAACTTTGAGGAAAGAGTTAAAGGACAAGGACTTTTAATCCACGGTTGGGCACCACAAGTACTAATCTTATCTCATCCTTCAATAGGTGCGTTCTTGACGCACTGTGGATGGAATTCGAGCCTGGAAGGCATATCTGCTGGTGTGCCGATGATCACTTGGCCAATGTTCGCTGAGCAGTTTTGCAATGAGAGGCTAATAGTGAGTGTACTCGCGACAGGAGTGAAGGCCGGCATGGAGAATCCAGTGATGTTTGGAGAAGAAGAAAAATTGGGAAAACAAGTAAGCAAAGATGATATTAAGAAGGTGATTGAAGAAGTAATGGGTGAAGAAATGGAAGCTGAAATGAGAAGAAAAAGAGCAAAAGAATTAGGACAAAAGGCAAAGAGGACTGTGGAGGAAGGCGGTTCCTCTTACCTCAACTTGACACAATTGATTCAAGATGTCACAGATCAAGCAAATCTTTTAAAAGGTTGATTGAGGAGGTAACTATGTATTCCTTATAGTTCAAATCAAGTTTTATAGTAATGTTAAAAGTTCAGTTACTATAATAAGACACATATAATTTTATTGATATTGTTATGGTGAGTAAAATTTTGTGACAAGTTTAATGGGCTACCGATGTATTAAGATTTGGATTTTATGTCATACAATATATATATTCTACATCAGCAGAAAATTTCGCGTGAATAACACGTTTACGTGTATGGCATGAGAGGGGGCATTTAAGTTCAATTAGTCAAGTAAAGTGGTGTTTTCAAAAGTGCCAATAACTCAGGGATGAGATTAATAATTCGTGTTAAGTTCTTATTTTCTTTTATAAGAATGATACACTTCCTGCCAGAACTTGTAGAATGGGACCATTTTTATTCCTACATCTATCTTGTATAAAACTCAAAATAATATCTTATCTTTGGGTTAAGACTTAAAGTCATTTTTTGGTTTGCACATGGGGCATTAATAGTCCTTTATGTTTGTAATATTGGCATACTTTTAGCCCTCTCCTACACTCTTGCCTATTTTTTTAATATTGATTTTGTCCAAATTTTTATGTATGGAATGCTCAATTGTCTTTTTTATATATTTAGATGAAATAATAACTTATAGAACAACTTGTTCCGTTAAATAGATAATATTATTACAGTTAAACTATGAACCTACATTTACTTGTTGAACTATATCAATTCATTGTTGGCATATGACATCGCAGTGGTACAACAATTTCTTTTCTTGCAACGTTATATGTCAACAATAAATTGATATAGTTCGACAATCAAAGATACGTTCTTAGTTTAGCTGCAATAATATTTTTACTGAACAAAATAAGGGTCTTTTTTCTCACCTTCTCTTACATAGAGTTATTATTTCTACTAAATATATATAAAAAAAAATGATTGAACATTCTCTACATCAAATTATGGACAAAATCAATGCTAAAAAATAAGTAAAAGTTTGTGGGAGGGCTCTGAGTAATTATTGGTGCTCTTAACCCAAAAATTATGGACTATTTTTGGGCATTTGCTCTATTTAATCTTATCTTATACTTTTCCAACAATGATAATCCAATCAGCATCTTCACAAATCTAAATTCACAATGCCAACCACACATTAAGATAATGCTAACTGTGCTGTTACATAATCACTGTACAAAGCAATAATGAAACCCAGTATAACAACCTTAATTAGTATAACAAAAATATATATCCTCTCATCTTTCTACTAAAAATATGGATGTTCCAACAATGCAGCCACATTTTGTGTTGCTTCCTTTCATGGCACAAGGCCATATGATCCCTATGATTGACATGGCGCGATTACTGGCACAACGCGGAGTTATAATCACAATCCTTACTACACGCTTGAACGCCAATAGATTCAAAAATGTTGTTGATCATGCAATTGAAACAGGACTAAAGATTCAGGTGGTTCACCTCTACTTTCCAAGCGTAGAGGCTGGACTACCTGAAGGGTGTGAAAATTTCGACATGCTTCCATCGATGGATTTGGGGCTGAAATTCTACGATGCTACGAGAAGACTTCAACCCCAAGTGGAAGAAATGTTGCAAGAAATGAAACCTTCACCAAGTTGTGTAATATCTGATATGTGTTTCTCATGGACAACTAATGTTGCACACAAATTTAACATCCCTAGGATTGTTTTCCATGGGATGTGTTGCTTCTCTTTGTTGTGCTTACACAATTTGAGAAATTGGGAGGAGTTAATAAAGATTGAGTCTGATACAGAGTACTTTCAAGTGCCTGGATTATTCGATAAGATTGAACTCAACAAAAAACAGATCGCAAATGTTCTCAATCCAAGAGATGTAGATTGGAAAGAAATCGCTGATCAAATGAAGAAAGCGGAGGAGGAAGCTTATGGGATAGTGGTGAATAGCTTTGAGGATTTGGAAAAAGAATACGTCGAGGGTTTAATGAATGCGAAAAACAAGAAAATTTGGACCATTGGCCCTGTTTCACTCTGTAACAAAGAGAAACAGGACAAAGCTGAAAGAGGGAACAAGGCTTCAATTGATGAGCACAAGTGCCTAAACTGGCTTGATTCATGGGAACTAAACTCTGTACTCTTTGTCTGTCTCGGGAGCCTATCGCGCCTTTCCACATCTCAGATGGTTGAGCTAGGGCTCGGGTTAGAATCATCGAAACGACCCTTCATTTGGGTTGTTAGACACATGTCAGATGAGTTCGAGAAATGGCTAGTGGAAGAAGATTTTGAGGAAAGAGTTAAAGGACAAGGACTTTTAATCCACGGTTGGGCGCCACAAGTACTAATATTATCTCATCCTTCAGTTGGTGCATTCTTGACACACTGTGGATGGAATTCGAGCCTAGAAGGTATAACTGCTGGCGTGGCGATGATCACTTGGCCAATGTTTGCCGAGCAGTTCATTAATGAGAGGCTAATAGTAAATGTAATCAAGACAGGAGTGAAAGCGGGCACAGAGAGTCCAGTGATGTTTGGGGAGGAAGAAAAATTGGGAAAACAAGTAAGCAAAGATGATATTAAGAAGGTGATTGAAGAAGTAATGGGTGAAGAAATGGAAGGTGAAATGAGAAGAAAAAGAGCAAAAGAATTAGGAGAAAAGGCAAAGAGGGCTGTGGCGGAAGGGGGTTCCTCTTACCTCAACTTGACACAATTGATTCAAGATGTCACTGAGCAAGCAAATTTTTTAAAAGGTTGATTTAGGAGATCATAGTTCAAATCAAGTGTAATAGTAATGCTATATCGGGTAAAGTTCAGTTACTTTAATATAACCATGAAATTGGTATTATTATATATAAATAAGGTTATCAATGTATCAAGACTTTATGTGCAAATTTTCATGATTCACATTTGTCCTTGAATTTAAAGGCTGCTTCTTTTTCTGTTTGATCTATGATACTATCTGATAGCTTATCCAAATCATGGGTTTCTATTTTATCTTGTTTGTGCATATTCTTCATGTTTTTTCTCTTGGTACATATAAAACACACACTGAATATCTAGATAGCCCTTTAAACTTGGCATAATTTGTAAGATTGTTGCTCAAAGTTAGTCAATGACCAAATAAACACTTAAATTTGACAGAAGTGTATCTAATAAACATACTCGTGCGTACATGGGAACTTTCCAGCGCGAATGCAATGTGCGTATCAAACACCTGCTAGGAAAAAAAAGGCAAAGTGAGTGATATACACTTGCTTATGATGTATTGCATAGACCAACTATTGAATGACACATGTAATTTCATACTTATTCGTCTATTTATGAATAAAAAACCTAATTGGATAAATAAAAATTTATACTGAATCGACATAATTCTTATTCAATAGTAAAACATATATTATACAATAAAAAAACATAGTGGCATCTGCCATCTTTTAAAATCCTAAATCCGCCTCTGTCTGTAATCTTCTACCTCATCAGGAAAAGCGTGTTCTAGATCCTCCAATAGATGCCCTCTTAAATCCTTGAATGCATCAACTTTCCCTTTAGTAATTTGATTTTTTGCAATACAATTGTTCAACAGATCCCTAGCAAATTCATCTGGATTCTTTCCATTATCAATTAAGTTGAGAACTTCCATTGGCACTTTAATACTATGACAATTTTCTCCTAATTTGGCCATATTATCAATCTCAAACACAAGATTATTCAGATGAGAAGCAACGTCAACGTCGAAAGAAGAAAGCTGATGAAGAATTTCTAAGGTTTTGTCGATTGAATATATGACTTGATTCAGATTTTGTTTTGATGAGTCCATTGTTTATGTTTGGAATAGACAAAACAAAAATTTAGAGGCAAATATATAGAGGTGAGAGATGGGTTTAAATAAGGAAACTTTGGTGATTTGGCCGTGTTTTGTTAGGAATAGTAGAGAAATCCCAATCCATAAAGGAAACGGAAAAGGTACATAAGGTTTTAAGAAAAAATCTTAATTTTACTTACCATAACAATATTAAAATATTATTTTTGTCATAACTGAACTTTATATACAATAATAATAAAAATATATGGAAAAGGGCTTAAAGTATTTTAAAATTATGTAAAACTGAAAGATAATG